CCACTGTAATTGCAAATGTTGCAGGGAGGACAGTAAAGCATAAAATGTCTGGCATGGAGAACTCCACCAGTGAATTATTTCCAGTATTTCCAATGTGGCAGCACAAGTTCCTCTGCATGCTTGTTTGTCCTGTTTGTTTTATTTTCCTGAAGGATACTTATTTTCTAGCTGTCTTTATTTAAAAGTAAAAGGCCCATTGAATTGCTGCGTGCTTGTGTCTTTCTTGCCGTGTCATTACCTCCCAGGCTTGCAGAACAATTTTAGTGAGATTTAACACCACAGTAGAGGTCTCAAGGGTACAAAATCTCTGCAAGTATCATGAAAATATATAGCTGTATGGAGAAAGGAGAACTTCTCGCTACTGCTGGTATGGGGAAGCCTCTCATATGAGCTCCGCCTCATTGTTCGACACTGGTGGATCTATGTGAGAACTCCCCGTGGGAATTAATTCCCATCTTTAATTTTTGCTGTTTCTCTGTGGCAGGTGGTGGCTGTCGACCCGGACCTGGGGGAGAATGGCACAGTGGTGTACAGCATCCGACCCCCCAACAAGTTCTACAGCCTCAACAGCACCACGGGCAAGATCCGCACCACCGGTGTGCTGCTGGACCGTGAGAACCCCAACGCCCAGGAGGCCCAGCTCATGCGGAGGATCGTGGTGTCAGTCACTGACTGTAAGCCCCGCTTCCTTCCTGCTCCTCTTTGCCACAGTGTCTTGCTCCACCGTAGCTGGAAATTGCTGGGGCTCAGGTTGTGCAAACGTCACCTTCCTCACCCTCCGCTTTCCCTGCCTGATGGTTTTCACATGTTGAGTTGAATTTTCTCAGCCTGATTTTTCCTTTATGATGAAGTTTCTTTTTCTTTTCTATTTTAAGCACAAGTTGCAAAGATATTTTTGAGGTTAGAAAATGAGAGTAGGTTAAAACCTTCCACTAAAACAAACCAGAAACCTTCAAAATGCAAGCACAGTCATTTCTGTAGCAGCCCTGACAAGGAACCTGGGAGGCAGAAACTCCCCCTCTTCTCAGTCTGGCTCCATCAGTATCTAGGAAAGTCAATTGAGTAGCTGGTGGAAAAGAGCTGACCAAGTGGTGAAATGTATTCTTCTCTGGAAATAGGATCTTAGGGAAACTTTTTTAGGAAAATAAAGATAGAGATATGAAGATACTTTTCTATTACCCAGCCTGTTTCCGAGAGGCAGGCGGCACATATAACTTCTGTCCCTTTATATTCTTGCACCACTCAGCACTGTGCTAAAGCCATTGTGCCATTCATCCTGCCAGAAAGACAGAGATAAGCACAGGCTGGTGTTACTCTCGTTTTTCAGCTGCATGCACAGGTAGCCATTGGTCTGCCTTGCATGCCTGCTGCCATGGTCAGTTTTGCCCTGCCAGGGGACTGTGCTCATCAGTCTGACCGGTAGCAGTGAAAGGGGTAACATGGACAGGTCAGTGCCTCGTGGGGACAGCCCCATCCTGCATTACTGTCTGCATAGGAAGTGAGGGATCCTTTTTAGGGGAAAAGGGTGGAAACAATTGGAGGCATTAACCTTGAGACCCGGGTCCTGGCCTCCACAGGCGGGAGGCCACCCTTGCGAGCTACCAGCAGCGCCACAGTTTTTGTCAACCTGCTGGACCTGAATGACAACGACCCCACTTTCCAAAACCTGCCCTTTGCTGCTGAGATCGCTGAGGGCCTTCCTGCAGGATCCTCTGTCTTCCAGGTGAGCATGTCCCATTGCTGCCATGCCCCATGCTGGGAGCTGCTGTCACTGCCATTGCTTCTGCAAAGCAGGCAATACATCCTGTCCATCCTCTAGCAATGCAACTGGGAGGATGCAGAAGGGGTTGTGCTGTCCTACTACATGTGCTCGCTCCCAGCAGAGGGGATGCTCCGAGGCCCCTTTGTTTCAGCCCAGCATCCCTGAGGGCAAAGAAACACTCAGGATTTATGTACTGTGATTTTCATTGTCAGGAGATGATCAGGCTCCCCGATCCTCACCCCTTTGCCCTCTTCCCTCCACCCTCCCCACCAGGTAGTGGCCATCGACCTGGACGAGGGTCCAAACGGACAGGTGACGTACCGCATGCAGGTGGGGATGCCCCGCATGGATTTCCTCATCAACAGCACCAGCGGGCTCGTCACCTCCACCACAGTGCTGGACAGGGAGAGGATCGCTGAGTACTACCTGCGGGTGGTGGCCAGTGATGCCGGTGTGCCCTCCAAGAGCTCCACCAGCACCCTGACTGTCAAAGGTGGGTGCATCAAGACCCCTCCAAGCCCTGCCTGGCTGCAGAGCCTCCTCTGGCCCCAAAAAGTGGGTGACAAGGACACCTCACCAGAGGAAATATAATTTATATAGGAGACACACTGAGGAGTCAAATGGGTATACAATTTGACCCATTATGCCTGTTCTTATGTACGGCAACACATAGGGAGGGCAGCCCACTGCACTGCCATCTCCGCAGACCTCACATCTTGCCCAGTGTGAAGTCAGCATAGTGCAGAGATGGGGAAAATATGGCATTTCTGGCAAAGCCCCCAAATTCTATATTGTTTTTCTTTCATTCTGCCATCCCCAGTGTTTCTTTTTCTTTTGGCCTGCCTTTTGCTACAGCATGTGATTTGCATCAGCTGCGTGTCTGGACAGCCCAAGTAATCCCAGTTCAGAGCTGGGCCTTTATTCTGTGGTCTGTCTTTAATTTAATACATTCCTATTTACTGGCCTTCACACAAGGCTAGTGCTGAGGATAAGCATCATCTGGAAATAAACTGACTTTGCATTATCCTCAGGCCTGGGCTTGGAAAAAGAAGTTTCTGGTCCTGTAACTCAGGAGCCCTCTGCCATACACCAGGAAAGACTGAGCTTATATTTAAGCCCCAGATTTTCCTTTGCGTGGGGATGGAAATCAGTTTGGTCCAAACAGTAACTTTAATTACAGTTATATAAGGTTTCTTTGGATGTAAGGGGAGGCATCTGTATGTGTCAGCCTGCAGCATTGGGGACAATTCTTTACAGCCAGTCCTCAGGCACCCCTGCCACACAAATGGCAGGGAGCAGCAGACAGGTGAGCTTTTGGGGAGCCCAGCAGAATGCAGATGCCTGGCATCTGCAGCCCTGATCCCAGATCAGGGGCACTCAGATCTGCTCCCCCTTTCAGTTCTGGACGTGAACGATGAGAACCCCACCTTCTTCCCGGCCGTCTACAATGTGTCGCTGCCTGAAAATGTGGCCCGGGATTTCAAAGTGGTCCGGCTCAACTGCACGGATGCTGACGCTGGGCTGAACGCTGAGCTCAGCTACTTCATCACAGGTATGCCAACCTTGCAAAACACTGCAAAGGGGTCTTTGGTTATGGAAAGGAGGAGCCTACCTCAGACGTTAGCCACGGTGTTTCGCACATCAGCTTTGCCTTTTCCAGCCCCTCCAAACCTGGTACGGTGTCGCCCTCTGCTGAACAGCCCCGCTTGGCTCCAGCCTTGCAGACCGCCTGTGCCCTGCCCAGGCATCCCCTGCCCTCGCACCCCCGAGATACAGCCAGGAGGAGCATGAGGATGGGCAGAATATGCTGGGGAGCAAGGGCTGGGGCAGCATTCACATTTATGGTTGGAAGCCTCTCTAGAGTTTTAGGGTATCTCATAGCCCTGCATGCAGGTGTTTTTGGGCAGGCAGGGAGCAAGCAGGCATCTGCAGCACCTGCAGCAGGAGGCTGGGGAACCCCCTGGACGTGCTTTGACTTGCAAACTGCACATGTGGCATTTAGCCCTCAGGAAGAGGGTAGAAATAGAAGTGTCCCTGGAGTAATTTTTCTTACAATAGCAGCCTCACATTTCATCTCACAGCCGCTCCAGCTTCCCTCGCAAGAGAAGCGGTGTATGTTGTCCCACAGGTACCGCAGGCCATGTGCAAAGTTACCCCATTTTGCTTCCAAAGCATTCAGGAAATGATCTGGCTCTTATATGATTCAGCTTTTCCTACAACCATCTCTCCTTTCCTCCGCTGTGATGCAGGCACTGCGTTTGGTATGGCAGAGAAGATGCTCTGCCCACTTCTGCTGCAGCAACGCTTTGTCTAGGACAAGACGCAAGCTCATCCTACAAAGCTTGCATTGATCACAAGGAGGGCAGGCTAAGCACTTGTGTTTTCCACAGTTGGGCTGACCCCGTGCCCAGGCTGCAGCACCCCATGCAGTGTGGACTGCTTCCTGAATCCATTACAAAGGGTGACTTGGTCCTTGTCCTGTGCTGCAGGTGGGAACCAGGATGGCAAATTCAGCGTTGGCTTCAGAGATGGGGTGGTCAGGACAGTCGTGAGTCTGGACAGGGAGACTGTGGCATCGTATACACTGATACTGGAGGCCATTGGTAAGGATTTCCCACTGTTCCCATAGGACTGCTGACACACAGCCACATAGGGTGGCTGAACATGTGCCAAGTGGCCTCATGGGCGAGTCAGACAGACAGCAACCTTTGAGGCACTCCATAAACCAGAGTTTGGCATTAGCATTTCACAACCCACTAATATGTCCTGACTCCAACATGACTTTTGCAGACAGTAAATTCACCACTCAGGCTCACCCAGCTCCAGGGCTTTCCCTTTCCCCCAGGGCAGGCAGGGCCACCCATTCCCAAGAAGCTCCACACTATCTGGGGCAGACCTCCACACAGAAATGTCAGCGCCACAGCATCATTCACCTAATGCCATGCCAGCCTTTGGCTCAGTGGCTGCTGATTAATCCAGAGCCACCTGGCACGGGCAGAGGGCCTATGTGCCAAACACATCTTGGCCATAATCCGCAGAATTTTATAATGATGTGCCTGTTTACGGAAGACTTAGACATCCCTTTTGAAAGAAGAAGTAAGTGGCCTGGTGAGGAATCTCGGGGGCATGGCATTGCAGGTGCTATGGGGTCTGCAGCAGGGATGCTGCACTACCTGGGTATGCAGGACTGGATCCCAAGTGGTAAAGGATCTGTTCTGCCCCTCCAATGGGTATCAGACTGCCTGTGTTTTTCCACTCAGCATATCCCATGGGCTCCAGCTAGGTGGATTTAATGCTCACTTGCACTGGTCATGTTGGAAAAGCCAAGCCCACTTAGAGTCCACATTGCCTCACACTTTGTGCCATGTCCTTATCTACTGAACACCAACCAGTCCGGGTGCTCTTTGGCTGTGAGCTGAGCTGAGTCTACAGAAAACTCATCAGACCCCTGTCTGCCTTCATCTCCCGAATACCTGACCTCCAGTAGTCCCTTCCAGCGTACATCACTCTCTTGGTCTATGGAGTTGCTTTAATGACTAGCTGTGTTTCCAGCCTCCCTGGGCAGTGGCTCTATGGCAGAGCTTAGAGGTGGTTCAGCTTTTCCATTTTCTTTCAGGACAGGCAGAATAAAACCAAACCACCATGGTTCAGTGTGGGATTTGCAAGCTGCAAAAAAAGACAGGATTTTAGCTTAAAAATTCTGATCCTGTTATTTTCAGCAGCCAGGGGCTGAGTATGACCTATCTGCAAGGAGATGGAGATGACCAGAACTCCCCTTGCCTTTCTCTCCCATACAGACAACGGCCCCACTGGGAACCGGCGCACTGGGACTGCCACGGTGTATGTGACTGTCCTGGATGTCAATGACAACCGACCCATCTTCCTTCAGAGCAGCTACGAAGTCAGCGTCCCCGAGGACATCCCAGCTGCCAGCAGTATAGTGCAGGCATGTGGCTTTCTTCCACCAGGGCCCTTGGGTGCGTGAACGGGTGGGTGAAGGGGGTCCCCCACTTTCCATGCCCTGGCACTTTGGCTGTCAGCTACAGGAATCCCAGGGCAGAGATTTTCTCTCCCCATCAGTGGTCTGTTGCCCCAGGAGAGGGCAAGATGTGATCTTGCTTGTGTGCTCCTCTGCTCCTTTGCTAACCCAAACTGTGAGCACCAGGGAGAAGACAGAAAAGTGCAAGTAAAAAACAAGAAATTCACCCATTTCTGCAGGGGGGAGAGGAGAAAACCCAAGCACCATGCTGGTGAAGCCCCTTTGCCTGGCCAGGTCCCCATTTTCTCCCTCCTCCTGGCAGAGAAGGGGCTGAGAGCGGAGATCTCAAGGGGAAGGGAGAAGAGTGCAGGCAAAGAGGTGCTCTGAGAGGAGGGGGAACTGAGGGAGAAAAGCATTTGAACTTTGCTTTCATTTTTGTTCTTCTTCGAGGGAGCAGTGGGCAGAGCTGAATGGCTCAGTGAGCCCTGAATGAATGCTGGCATTCACACAACCTCCAAGGGCTTCCAGCATCTCTTCAAACCCAGGGCTCTTCTGGAGCAGGCACCAAAGGCTCTTTGCAGAGGGCCCTGGGAACGCTCCTCCTGCCTTGAATGCTTCTCCCGGCACAGGGAAAGGGGTAGCTTTGTCTCTGGCTCTCCAAGGCAGGGTGAGTCACTGGGAGAAGAAAGGAGCCTTTTGACTCTTGCAACAAAGGTTTGCTGGGAGCCCTGCTCTGGGCAGCCGGTCCCCAAGTGTGAGCCCTGAAGCTCCTCGTCACCTGTTGTGCCATGGCACGTGGTACGTGATGCCTGCCTCTGGGGTCAGGCATCTGCTGCAATCCCTGCCCCTGGGGTGGAGGTGTGCAGGGGAGATGTGCAGGCGGAGAGGAGCCCTGCTGTGGGACTCCTAAAACTGAGCCTGGTTTTCAAATCAAAAGACTGAGAATGGAGGAAACCCGAGTCTGACATTAAAGTCCCTCTTCTTAGATAATGATTCCCAAAAGAGGGGATGCCCTTGGAAATGTGTGGCAAAGGAGAGGCAGTTTTAGGGTGAAGTTTGTTTTCCACAGAACAAAATCGGAGGGAAATGGAAATGGGCAATCACCTGGGTTTAGTTTAATTTACACCTTCAGTGTGAGCCATTTGTACTGAAGGTCTCTCCCTTCAAATACATCCCCACATCACTGTGGCAACAAGAGAGTTTTCAAAGGCTTCCCCATCCTCTTCTCTGAAAGCCAGGCAGCCCAGGGTAAGAGGAGAGCAGGAATGCCCCAGGCAGCCCGGAGAGGTCCTGATGCAGAGCTGCACCTCGTGAGGGTCAGAGACCAAGTGAAACCCAGGGAGATGGGCTTTGGTGCTCACCGTGGGGCCTCGCTGAGCATGCTGACTTCACCCAGAGGGGTGAACTCAATAGCTGAACATAGTGCAAGCTGCAGACCTGGAAGAATTAAGCCACCTTTTGTGTTTTGTACTGATTCCTTTAAGCACGTCAGCTTACCTGCTGGTTGTTGTACCCTTTCCCAGCAGAAATGAGAGCTGAGCTTTGCACAGTGCCTTTCAAAGCTGGCAGTGGCTGCGAGCCTCAAAAGCTCTCTTTAATGCATTTATAGGCATGTTTACCTGCTCCCACTGCTTGTTTATTGAAACAGGTTTCCAGCAAACAGCTGTAGCATACATCCTTCCAAGCATCTGCAGCAACCACAGCTCATTGCATGGAGAGAGAGTAGACAGGGACCGGGTGGCACACAGGGGGCACAAGCCTTCCTCTGCCTGCTCAGGACCACAACTCAGGGACAGTCTCAGCTGAGGACTGCTTTTTGTGGAGCACATTTGCCCCAGGATGCCTCTCTTCAAGGCAATATTTGTTGGGTAGCCAGCTTGCTCTTCTCTCGCCCAGGCTGTTTGTTCAGGTGGCTCGCAACTTGCACAACGTTTTCCAAAAGAAATTAAGCGGCAGTATTTTTTGGACTGCCTGGTGATAGCTGTGTGTGGTTGTGGTTCAGATGCCTCCACCTTTCCTGCCAGGAAACGGTAACCTGGAAAGCATTTGTGAACCTGAAATAGCAAAATCTCTCATCACCTTGCAGAGTCACTGCCTGGAAATGAGCTGCTCAAAGGGGCTCTGCCAGGATGCTCAGAAGGGAACTGAGGCTGAACCAAAAGCTTGAGAAAGAATAGCAGTGCGGGGTGAGTTAGTTCCTGCAGAGGAGGGTCACATTTTGGTGGATTCTGTGATATCCCAGTTCTGGCTGGCGAGGGAGCCCCTGGGGCAGGTGAGCTGTCTCTGGGACATTGGCTGACTCCTCCTGAAGGTGTTGATGGAGCATCGCAGGGAGCCCAGCCGCTTCCAGAACCTCAGCTGGGGCTCACTGGCATCCACTGGGTGATGGGGCATGCACTCATGGGGCCCGGAGCGGGCCTGGTCCAGCACCGCTGGCTTGCACAGGGTAACAAAGATGAGGAAGGTCGCCAGGAGGAGGAAGATGCAGATGAGTGCAACAATGACAAGCAGTGGGTCTGCTGTCTCAGGGGATGCATAGCTGGGAGGGACCAGCTCAGTCGTTGAAACCAGAAGCCCAAGGAGAGGCGTGGTAGGAGAGGTCCCATTGCCAGTGTCCTCTGTGCTCATCTTCCCTGCAGTGCGTAAGGTAACACAGACAAGCAACATGGGTGATTACCATCTAGAAGCTGGACAGACACCCACCTTCCATCTAGCCTGATAGATTTTTGGATTGCCTTGATGTCCAAGCTATGATTTTTGTGACACAGTGGGGATAGGAGGAGTTTGTCTGTTCTGCCAGGAGGCAAAGCACAGAGGTGGGATTTATACCTGCAAACATTGTCCTGAACTGAAGAGCAAAACTATTTGGTAAAGAGATCTAGCACAGGTAGTACTATGTACATATGGTACCATGGTCCCAGTGGTGACACACATAGGGAACATGCATACATGTTGCATGATGCTTTTCTGGAAGAGGTAATCATACACTAGAGACAGTCCAAAATCTTCCACTCTGAGCTGCTGGGCTTTGCTGATTCTCTGTTCTCCAGAAATGTGGGTTTGTTGAATGAACTGTCATTTGGCCTTTTATGATTATGCACTCTCCCCAGAGAAAATGGATAGTTGGTTGAGCATCTGCCCAGTTAAGTCCTCATCAAGCTGTACTGCAATATTGCCTTTTTAGTTGTTTTTTTGTTGGTTGGTTGGTTGGGTTTTTTCAGGGGTGAAGCGTTAACACCATCACCATGCTTGTGTCAAAAATCCTCTTGCATTAGGCATTTTGCTGACCTTGTTTCGGGTTCAGACACGCTGTGGGTTTCTCAGCCATTTTTGCAAACCAGCTCGCCAAAGCCTCATCAGTAACAGCTCTTACTGAACACCTGATGGCTGACTCGCCAGGTCAGATCCCCCCAGCTTGCATCCCCAAAGCAATATGCACCCATCATTTTGCTCCCATGCACCCTCCTGCATATGGTCCCAGGGGCCAGCATCTCTCCAGCTTGGAGACGAGGGTTGGGGAAATATTGCTGTACCAACCCTCTGCAATGCGACAGCCTGGCTTGGCCCTTGGTACTCTAGTCTGTATGCTGGAGGTAAAGCTTTATTATGCTGACTTTCCTACAGAGAGGTGGGAGTTAGAAAAGTGATGGAGAGCTTTTAGACTGGTCTGTGACCAGGCAGCCTCCTGGCAAGCATGTATATCTACAGAGACCATTTAAAATTAAGAATTTAGGAGGGGAAAAGAAGGGCTGCAGGGACTGCCAGGGTCTCTGGGTCTGCTCTTGCAGCTGCTATCCAAAAGCCACACAGGTTTGTGTAGGCAGCAGCCAGACATTCACCATAAAGCATTCAAAAAAGGGAACAGGAGACATCAATGACATGTCTTTAATCACTAACTGGAAACTATGAGACACCACGGTGGAGATGAGCCTGGTGAAAAGAGAGATGTTGCGTCAGAACAGACAAGCATTTCTCACTGTCCACATTACGCAGGTGGAAACAACCTTAAGCAAACACTCTGAGAGTTGCCAGGCCAAGCACTCAGAGGTTAAGGAGTCCTTGAACTTGAGTTGTCTGTGCCCCAGCAGTACCCTCTGTGTGAGGGTACTTACATAGGTGAGCTCCGAGCTCTGGTTTGACAGGACTCTGCCTTGTCCCAGAGGGGATAGGTTGCTCCTGCATGATCCATGCTCTTCCCCTTGGTCAGTGACCTGGGATACAGAGGGAAAAAGGTCAGAGGCTTCCACTAGAGTTGGGTTCTGGGTTTGCGGCATGGGAGAGATGTGATTTATTTCTAGAAGACTTTGCATCACCTGAGCTTGAGCATTCACAGCTGTGATGCTGGCAGCCTCAGGGACTGCATCAGCCTGGTCAGAGCTCAGAGGCTCTGGGAAGATGTGGCTGCTTCCACTGGGCAGAGCCAGGTCTACGCTCAGAAATGAGAAATGCATCTGAGAATGCTTTAGCTCGGGTGAATCCCCATGCGTACTGCAGGCAGGCTGAGGGGGCCAAGACTCTTGTTGCTTCCCCTAAAGTGATGTTTTTGCCTCTCCTTGCCTGGCTCAGCCACTTCCCCCCCCCCCCCCCCCAGCTTTTGGAGCAAAGCAGCCCCTGGCAACCTCAGCCATCCCAAGGATCCCTCTGCTCTGTAGGCAGGCTGCTTCTGTGCACTGTCTGGGCATGAAAACCAGCAGGCAGGGCTCCTGCTTACTGTGCACACCAAAGGCAGCCTGAATCAAGGTTACCACAGCTACCTTAATTCTGGCATTCACTGACATGTGGTTTGGCTTAGTAACCTTACATTGTTCATTAAGAGCAAGCTGGGAGGCCTGGGCAATTTCTTCAGGTTGTTTTTTGTTCTGTCAGTGGTGGCTGTAGGGTTTTTCTTTTACATCCAGCTGACTGTCCCTTAGAAACTCCTCACAACAGATCACATTGATGTTTCCCCAGGCTTTTTCAGCTATGCCCTCTTCTCTAGCTTCTGAGCCACCCTCTCATTACACCCAGCTCAGACTTCAGAGGAGATCCAGGCTTTTCCTCACCTGATCTCTAAGACCTTTCAGAAAAAGAGCCAAGTACATGTGAGCAGTGACTCCCTTTTAGGTTCCATAAGTTTTCAATGTATTAACGTACACAAAGCTCTCCCCCTCACCTCCTGCCTGAGGTGGAGCTACAGCTGTTTCAGCAGAACTTCAGAAAAGCCACCAAAACTGTGGTCCTACCAGGAGAAAGGTCAGGGCATGCATGGTAAGAGCAGCACTCCTCTTGCCCACACCACATGTAGGAATGAGGGCTTCCCTCCTGCAGGGTAGGAGCTTGGTGCCTTTCTGAAGGATGGCAATGAATTAGTTGCTCACAGTATTTTGTACCCACTCAGCCAAGCTGCTTCCTGCATCCCTGTTCATAGCATTGCCCCTTCCCAGCATTGCTGTTCCCACTCAAGACCCATGTTATTAATCCAGATGGGTTAAGAAGAGGTTTGCCCAGGCTGGCAAACCCCCACAGCAGGATCATCCCTGCCTGATCTACTCTATCAGGAGATGTCCCCATGAGTGCTTAGGACCCATTACTGGGCAAGAGGCAGCCAAGGATCAGAGGGAAAGAAGAGAAATTGTGAAAAGCAAAATGTTCCTAAGGAAAGTAGAAAGGAAGAAGAAACTCTTCTTGTGTGTGAGCAGCAAAGAGCGTTACTCTGCCCAGCACCGGGTGCTGCCTGCCTGGCTTGGCCCAGCTGCATAGTTTGGCAGGAGTTTTCCCATATGCTCTCCCTCTCTTTTCTCAAACTCCTGCAGAGAAAGAAGAGGCTGTTTTCAGGCACTTCTGTGCCTGTAATACAGCTCAGATGAAAAGCAGCTCTCTTGCCCCTCTCCATCTTGCCTAGAGACACTCTTCTGGAGCTTCCTAGCTTTTCCCAATTCACTAACTCTTTCCGCTCACTTGCAGGAATGCTGGAAGGTACCAAACAGCTTACCGACCCGGATAGTTGGGTGCTGAAAGCAAAGGGCTGTATGTGATGCTGTACCCCACCACCCTCACTGTTAAGCAGCAGTGCTGCATCCGCAGGACTTTCCCCCTCTCCCTTCACTGGGACAAACAAAGCAACGCGACAGGGAAAGAAGGAGGGATGCCTGACTTCAGACCCACCCCAAACTCCGCGTCTCGCCTCTCCACTGCTGCGAACGCAGCCCTTTCCCCATGCGGCTGCGGGATGGCGGCATGTCCCCGGTGTCTCACTCGCCCCTCGGGGTTAGCCTGAGTGGGCAGCGGTGGGTTTGCCACGGGGGTTTTGGGCTCCCTACCTCTCACCTGCTGGCCGAGCTCCCGCACGCCTGCCTTGCCGCCTCTCCCACCTCTCTCTGCTGCTGCCGCCAGCCCCCTCCTCCCTTTTACAGGGCAAGGGAGGGTGGGAGAGAGCTGGCAGCCAGGCTGGGAGCAGCCTGAGTGTGCAAAGCCAAGGGGGACACTGAGCCCCCTCCCGGGCTTTGCCGGTGCGGTGGTGCCCCGGGGCTGGGCCCCGCTGGAACGAGGGGTCGAGGCCCCGGGATGCATTTTCCTGGGATTTGCCCCTGCGGGAATGCTGAATGGTACAGTCGTGGTGGGCCGAGCCCCCTGCGCCGGGGAGGGGTCTGCGGGCTGACCGCCGCAGCCTGCTTCCCCTCTCCTCAGGAGCTCTGCAGCGAGCTGCCTGCTCTTTTCCTATCCTTTTATTTCCCCGCTCTTTCCTCCAACGTTTCTGACCCCTTTGCCGCAGCTGTGGGGTAAGGTAGGCTTAAAAGGCTGGCTTTGCTTGCAGCCCACTCTCAGTAGCAGGAGGATAAAGCAGGCTGGAGGCACCCAGCACTCAGCTGCACAAGGTGCCTTGCACCTGCAGCAGAAAGAGCTTTTCTCTCACCACTTGCACTCGAGTGCAATTGTTTTCCCAAGTTCGGGACAGTCTGTCAAGTACCACATCTCCTCTGGGACCTCAGTGGGTCAAACCAGCAGCAGCTGAGGCTGGTAGGAGCATGCATTGGTTTAATGCAAACTGACTGGGTTTTTTTTTTAAGTAAGAAACAGATACCTGGGCAAGGCATTTTACCTGGTTTATGTGCTAGAGCTGCCTGCAGCAAATGCTTAGGGTGAGCTGGGAAAAGGATGGCTAAGGGGGTGTTTGCAGGGTGCAGTTTGCTCATCAAGTTGAAAATTTTTCCATTTGCTCACTTTGAAATGCATTTTTCCCAGCACAGCTGGGCAGAAAATGAATAAAAAACTGCAAAGTTTTGTCTCCCATCCCATCCCTTATGTTTCCCTGCCACCACTGCCACCTCAGCAGGGTGCTTAGGCTGATGAGATAGCTTTTCCTATGCCAAGGCCACCGATCTGCCTGGGCATCAGTTGCCTAGGCATCGATGGGTGCAGGGCCCACCCACCACACGGGAGAACACGCAGCCCAGCTCCTGCCCAGAAACGGCCTTGGAGAGAACCAAGGGTGGAAGAGATGGTGTTGGAGGGAGAGCTCTCTGCTGTGAAAGGAAGGTGCTGGGTCCATGGTGAAACATGGAGCAAGGCATACATAGTGTTGTGTCCAGCCATAAGCAAGGTGTGAACCGGTCTGGGACAGAGGAAAACAGTGTGTATGTGGCACAGGGGTGGGGAATCCAGTTAGTTTGCAAGTGCAGGGGTCAGCATGTTTTAATGTTTCTGATGACACAGATTGACTTAGTGGAGGGAACGAGAGCAGTTCAAGGCATCTCAAAACTGCATTTCAGAAGAGTATCTCATATGCATACAAGTGTTGTGTAGGGCTGTTGATGAAAGCCAGCCCAGAGCTTTAAAGCTGAGCCCCTATAAATGGCCTCGCTGTTCCTGCTGCACGTGCATCCTTTGCAGCAGCCCCTCCTCTTTTCAGTGCAAGTCTGAGTGCAAACCCCCACCTGCAGAAGAAAAGGAAACCACTGGGTAGTATTTGTAAGGAGAATATGCAGCAGCAGATGCTTTGCCAAGGGAAGCAGGTGGAAAAGAAAGGCTAAGGCATTCCCCATGTCCTCGCCTTGGTGATTTGCAAGCAGCCGCCACTGCGGTTGTACTTTGGATCCGCTGTGGGAAGCGGTTTCTGTGGAGGGAAGATGCAGTGGCTCAGTGCCAGCCGGGGAGGAAGCCCCGGCCCCGCTGGCCCTCACCATCTCCCGCTTCTCAGCTGCCGGGGCCGGTGGGCTCCTGGCTGCGGTTTGCGGGGAGAACGCTGCAGTGTTGTTCAGCGACACCAGAGGGGACCCGTGCCTTGGGTTTCCCAGGGCGGACGGCGGATTCGGTACGTGCACGCACTGTGCAGTGCATCGCTGTTAAGGGGTGCTCCCACCCTCCGGTCCTGGTCTTGCAAGGACTTAACAGTGTCCAGACCACCAGCATGCGCTAGGCTGGTCATATTCATGTTTCTTTTGTTAATTTTTACATATACTGCTGTTGACTGACTTGCCCTGATACTGTGGGTTACGTGCCCAACAGGCACAGGACCAGCTCTCCCTGCCCAGCTCAAGCCATCCCTGTGGACAGGGAGGCTCCATCCCCAGCGGCATCTCCAGTGGGACAAGCACTGACGCGTGAAGCGGGATCAATAGAGACTTCTCCACCAGAACACTGACCCACGGGATTCATGGCATGGTCTTCAGGCCCAGCTCCCAACCTGAGCCCGTCAACCTGGGAGCTGAGGGCTCCCAAGCCCATTATTCCTGCTGTCTGGTGACAAGGGGAGGGTAACTTATTTTGCTTTGCAGCTGGTAAGCTTCTGGCTCAGGTGGAGGAGCAGGATGTCCAGCCTCAGCAGCATGGGAGGACTTGTCATGGTCTGGAAATCTCTGCACTTCTCCTTCAGTGCTTTTCTTTTCTCATAAAGGTGAAAGCCACAGATGCGGATGAAGGCATTAATGGGAGAGTGTGGTACAGGATTGTCAGGGGTAAGTCCAGATGCCTCTTCATGCATTGGTGAGTTTGCACCAAATTCTGGCCAGCTGCGCACACAGCCTCAAGAGGTTGCACTCTCTACCCTTTTGCACTTTTCAGTCCACAGAAACATCCTCTTCACCCTTGAACAACACGTTAACATTAGGGTTAATTTCTGGGGGATGATGTGTCGTGCGTGGACACCTAGATGCCATAGCTTCTGGCTTGGCCAGGGCCAAACCCTGATATAGCTGAGCCTGATGTAGCTGGAGGTGATGAGACTTGGGTTTTGCTTGGTCACATTCCTCCAAAATAGCTTCCTCAGTATGTCACCAGGACTGATGCAGTGGTGGTGAGCAGCATCCATCTCATTTCTTCCCCCTGCCAGGAAACGAGCACAACAACTTCCGCATCAATCCCAGCACGGGGTTGGTGATGCGAGGCGTGCGGCACCTTGACAGGGAGCAGAACTCCTCTCACGTCCTGGAGGTGGAGGCCTACAACACAGAGCAGGGACCTATGAGGAGCTCCGTGCGGGTAAGGAGCTTGCAACCACCAAGAGGTGGGCAGCAGGGCAGGGCTGCGGAGGAGTTAATGCAGAATATTCAGGATGCTCCATCAGAGGGCAGTCCTTTCCAGCCCTTGAAGGCATGCAGGAAGTTGGAGAAATCTGGTATGGAAATGGTGATGCAAAGTCTCCGGGGTTGCCTGTGGGTGGAGAAGAAAAGCTGGTGGGATCTGTTTTTGTTTGGTTTGTTGTTTATTTTTCTTCTTTCCTGTGACATTTCATTGCAGTAACACTGCTAAGTGGTGTGGCAGCCACTGTCGGAGGGAGTCATGCTTGCCCAGCAAGATGTGACTCTGCTGCCAGGAGGAAGAGCTGAGCCTCAGCCTGTTGAAAACTGTCTCCTGGCCAGGCATCTATTTAAATAAGACAGGACCCAGTGGCAATAATCTTTAGCAGTGACACACCAGCTTCCCACGGTTCCCACAAACCCAGCCCTCTTGTTGCATCTATTTTTAGACCTACTGGTGGGGTGGGCTCTGGCCAAGCGTGACATACCCACAGCACCAGCAGCAAGTAGAAAACCAGGAGGAGAAAGGGTGCTCCCTGGGGAAACAGCAGCTTGACCTGCTGAACTTTGAGCAAAATTTCCCACCAAGTTACCATCATTTCCACGTTGCAGGGTCTCTGACTGCAGGGTTATGAGCAGGAGATCCCAAAGCACACTGAAATTAATATACAGACTGTATCTCCCTCTGGCCAGGGAAATCCTTAATCACTCTAACCATGGGGCTTGCTTAAATCTGTGATGTTAAACTCCATGTTCACCCTCCATTACATGATGTTTGTACTAGAAATAACATTCCTCCTGTGCAGCAGATGCGTGCCGTGTGTTGGCAAGGGTTCACAAGCCTTCCTGGCTCACCCATGGTTTCTCTGGGGGGTTTCACAGGTGATCGTCTATGTGGAAGATGTCAATGATGAAGTGCCGGTGTTCACCCAGCGGCAGTACAACCGCCTGGGACTGCGGGAGACAGCAGGGATAGGGACTTCGGTGGCAGTGGTCCGGGCCACCGACCGAGACACAGGTAGGAAGCTGGAGGTGAGAAATACCCCAGTTGGTGGGGAAGTGGTAAAATCAACCATTACACAGATCCTGGCTTGGCTGGGTTGAAATCCCCATGTGGGATGGGATCTGCTCCATGGTTGGGGTCGGCATTGGTGGTACAACCTCTTCAGGATGCTTGATCCAGCTGGCACCATGGTTGCTGCTCTGTTGCAGGGAACGGCGGTCTGGTGAACTACAGAATCCTGTCAGGGGCAGAAGGGAAGTTTGAGATTGATGAGAGCACTGGCCTCATCACAACGATTGAGTACCTGGACTATGAGACCAAAACCAGCTACCTGATGAATGTCTCTGCCACGGACCAAGCACCCCCCTACAATCAGGGCTTCTGCAGCGTATACGTCAGCCTGCTGAACGAGCTGGATGAGGCTGTGCAGTTCTCTAACAGTAGCTATGAGGCCGTGATCATGGAGAACATCCCCTTAGGCTCTGAGGTGCTGCGGGTCCAGGCCCGCTCCATTGACAACCTCAACCAGATCACCTATAAGTTTGACCCCAACACTAATGCCCAGGCACTCTCTCTCTTCAAAATCAATGGGATCACTGTAAGTATCTACAGCATGGGCCCTTCTGGCTTGGTTGTCCACCATGAACTTCAGTGTTGGTGGCTGACACAATTGCTGTTCATCCTTGGCAGGGTGTGATCACGGTCAAAGGCCAGGTGGATCGAGAGAAAGGGGATTTCTATACGTTGACGGTGGTGGCTGATGATGGAGGACCAAAGATTGACTCTACAGTGGTGAGTAGATTCTACCCACTTCCCCACCATCCTCTGGTAACCTGAAGTCACCTCCCTCTTTCTCTGGCATGGGACACCATGTCCTAGCTGGTCTTTCTGCTCCAGCTGGAAACCCTGATTTGGGAAACCCTGCATTTAGCTTCTGCATGTCATAGGCTGGAATTTCTCAGAACAAAAAAAAAAAACAAAACATCCCAAACTGTAGAGTTTGCAGGTCACTCACCAAGCTAAAACAGTTTTAAGAGAGGTAAATTTGGGTGCCTTGAAATACTTCACTGTGGTTAATATTTAAGAGGGCTATATTTGGCAGTTTCAAAGGCAGCTGAGTATGGGGGATGATTTGCATTTCTCTGCTGGGGCAGGAGGCATGTGGGGTGCACTGCCAAGAAGTTTATCTAT